TATCAATTAGTAAATAAAGTCTCGCATCTAATGCCCTTAGCCAACTTAAAAAAAAAAAAAAAAAAAAAAAAAACAAAATTAATAATGTAAATAAATATAAGTGTATTTGTCTTAATGAAGTCTCAAATAAAATAAAATAGAGTAAAAATATATACAATATTATTATTAAGAGTTTTTTTTTTGTTTTTTAATAAAATATAATTGAATTTTAATGTAAATATATATATATATAATATATATAATTCTTTATCTATATTCAATATATCTAATAAATAAAATTAAAATCTTATAATTTGATTACTGTAATTATGATAAATCTTTAATAATATTACAAGGGATTAAAAATAATAATTAAGTGGAATAATAAATAAATATATGTTCTTATAGCTTTAATATTTTTTAAACAATAGCATAATATAAATTAATTTCTGGTTTTAAAAATTCATTAGGTTTTCTTTATACTTATAAGTTTATAATTCACAACCTAATTAAATTTTCCATGGTATTATTCTTAATATTTCAACTATACACTTAGACTATTAACTAAAATTACTGTATATATAGTAAAAAGTAGTCTTTCATGTATATTAACATTATTGCTACTTGTAGTTATATGGTATTTTGAAACCTTGGATTTTGATAAATGTAAGAGTTTTTAGTAAACTTAACTGACCTTTATGTTTTTTGAAAAAAGGTTTAATGAGGCTTAAGAGGAAAAAAAACAGTTAAGAATCAATATAAATTAAAAATTTTTTAAAAGTTGATTAGAACCCCTTATCTATTTGCTGAAATAAAATACTGGTACTCTTTTTCTTAATTTTAAACTGCAACTATCCCAGCTTGATTTAAATTGCTTTTAATTACTATTCTCACAAGACATTAATCATTTGATTATAAGTTTTAGAATCTATTATAGTTTGCTCGCGTTGATATAGCCAATATGTAAATTTATTAGAATTTTGATATGACAATACAAAAAAGCTTTGAATTTAAATCAAGAATCAAGGAGTTAAGAATCTAGAAATATATGCAATGTTTCTAAATAAGTCAAATAAAGTTATTACTATACTTTTTTTAAAAATGAAAAAAAATATATATGAATGATGCTAATTATTATTTTCATTAATTGAATATAATAATTTAATCAAATCTATATCCAATTGTTTTTAGGTGCCATCGATAACTTTGGTTTGGACAAATTGCTATGAGAACTACTAGAAATGTTATTATATGATGGATTGAATAAAGAATTAGGTATAAGGAATGGTTAAAAGAATCTGAAGATAATGTCATTGGTTTAATAGAAGTTGAAGTAGAATGCAAAGCTTTTGTGGAAACAGTAATTGAATTTGATGGGAAAATCTTATTTATATTACTTTAAAGTTTGACTATGGTTCCGAAAATTAGAATTGAATAGAATCGAACAGAATCACATGAGATTTGGAACACTATTAAAAATTTTGGTAGGGTATACCCTACCTATTAAATTTAATATAAACTTGAGAATCGAATACAGAATCAAAGAGAATTATTAGGATCCTTAGGTTTGACCTTAAATGTAAATTTTAGATTAGATATTTTCAAATTTCTTAAAATATTATAATATCATATTTATTTCTTATAAAGCCTTGATTATAATTCCTAGCAATTTATAGAAAACTTTTTTCATTGAAACGGTTTTTCATTTGATTCATAAGAAATATATTGCCATGTTTTTGAATTTTTTAATTCTCAAACAAAAGAATATTAATAAAAAGATAATATAAATTATTAACATTAAACAAAAGTTAAATAGAAGAAATAGAAAAATAGATTAAAACCCTTTATTATTACTAGATTCTGTTGAAATTCCAAGTTAATTATATAAAAAACAAAAATGTTTTTAAAAATTGCAATATATAACATAAATAATTTAAAATTTTTAATTTTAATTAAAATATAAAAAGAAATAAGAAAATTAATATTAAATAGAAAAGAAAATCTTTAATAGTATAATTCAGATTATAATAATTGTAATATTTTATATCTTTTGTAAATTACATGAAATATATGTAGACTTGTTTGTTTAAATGACTTTTTTAATTTTTCAATATATAAGTTATTAAATAAGTTAGCTTTTGATATATATTTTTTTAAAAAAAATCTGAAACAAGCAATATAATTATTAAATATTTTTTACATAAGATGTAATAAATAGTCTTTTTGGATATAATTTTAATTATGACTACAAAAAGATTTGTTAATTTTGTAACAATTATATATTTAATATCTTTTTTATTAATAAAAAGTTTTTTAAAATTAGTATAAGTAAGTTTATAAAAGAATTAAAATTATTTCAATTATTATATTTGCACTCTTATTAATTAATTTTAATACTGTGTTGATTGTGATATAATAATAAGTATTTTTTTACAACTATAAAATTTGATTGTTTTGTTTAAAGGTTAATGCCTTGTTAATATGAAGTAAAATTTTAAGTAAATAAAAAACTTTTCTTTATACTTTTTAATTAAATATGTTACACAATATATTTTTATTTAAAAGTTTAACCTAAATTTTAAAAAAAAAAGTTCATAATCTTTTGTTAACCCCTTATATTTGATCCATAACAGTTAAAATGTCATGAGAATTTATAATTGCGGACAAAATCATCAATGCCTTCCAATTTGCATAACAAGTTCTTCTTTTTCCTTTTTTTTTTTTCTTTTTGACATCATGAATGTAATCATTTAATAAATTTTTTCTAGGGCTAGACTAATTGTAATAAAGTTTGATACCAATATCGTTACAAAAAGATATTATTTTATTAACCAATAATATTCATGAATATTATCCAAACCTCATTAATCTAGTATTCTGCCTCATAAATTTCTTTTCTTGGTCGGTCATCAAATTCTTTCTCGGGCTCTAGGCCATCATCAACTTTGAGTATTTTTCCTACTCGACGATTGATTTTCACTAATAGTTTTGTTTTTTCACCACCATATTTAATAAGTAAATAAATTCTTCGAAATTGTGAGTCCCCAATAAGTCCTCCCCAAGTGTAATCACTACAAATGCCGCGAATAAAAATCCCTATCAAAGATTTATAATCACGATCCATCATATTATAGTAGTAAGAAAGTGCATCTTTTAAATAATTTAAGATCCTAGAAATATAGATTAAATTTGAGGCAAATATTAACTTTTTCAAATAATAATTGTTGTCCGAAAGTAATGCCATATTTAACATCTGGATAAAAGGAATATAAAGCATAAGAAAAGAAACCGCAAGTCCTTCATACATTTCTATATATAGTTTGAATCGAGAAAGAAAACGTTTCCTGTAGAATAAATACATATCTAATACAGTAATGACACCTTCGATTAACAGACCGGAGCCAGTTATAATTCCGCTAACCGCATGTAAATATACAAATATATTTGACTCGTTTGTATCAATGGCACGAGAATAAAATAAAAAACAAAGGTCTGAAACTACATGAACACCAAGAACTATCATAAAATATATAATAGCTTCTTGACCATCTTTAATAAATCTTATCCGGACTATAATGATCACGACAATGAATGCTGATATACCATAAAGAATTATGACCCACATTGGCGTGTTTTGTGTTTCTCTGCTTTTTACCATGACAAAAATTGGCAGAATATAAAGAGTCATTAAAAATAATATGTCATCAAAAAAAAGTTTGACTTTGAACCAATGTACGTTATTTATATTATCGATATTTATATCGAATAATGAGACGATCATTAGAGGAACAATCACGTAATGAACTGATCGAATAAGTCGGGTAATGAATCATCATTGCCCGCGTAAACCGAAAAGAAAAAGGAATTGAATATAGCAAGATAAAGATAAAATTTATGATGCATTATCGAAAATTTGAAATTTTAATAACGAACAGTCATTGCATTTATATGAAATTCCGTTATACCGTAATATTGTTGATTATTAACGGTGTCACTTGTACTACATTTTAACCGAAAATGCCATTGAAATTGTTATACCGAGATGCAACTTGACAAATTTATAGGAAATATTTCCAAATTATCTACTTCAATAAAATACACCCACAAACACTGCATACGGATCGTCGATCAACTTATTATACTATAGTAAATAGTATTGGTTACTTTTTACAAGGCTCATCATATAGTGTGATTTGAATCTCTTTTCTACTAGTAACATACTTGGATCCTTTTCGTTTTAGTAGTAATCACAAACCGTAGTAAACGTGTTTGTCATTATTAAGAAAAGGAACAATTTTGGGGGAGTATTCCCACAAACGTGAAATAAAAGATTAAGAAAAATTTGAGCAGGAGTTCAAATGTGAGCATAACAAATCGAATTAAAAATTTAGAAGTTTAAGGTAACGATATTTTTTTTATAAGATAATGAATTAATGAATAAAGTGCATCTTTGTGCTAAATAGGGAACAGAATTCTACGCAAGATAACTTAGCGAGACTAATCTTCAAAAAGAAAAAAGTTAAAGTTTTTTAGACTTTGATAGTGTCTGAGGAAACGAAAAAATTTATCATTTAAGATTTGAACTTTCAAATGATTATTCATAGAAAATACCAGCCTGTATGCAATACTTTTGGTGAAAATTTCAGATCACCTTGGAGTTTCTTATACGAAATCATGCAGCAATTGTATTGTGAAATTGGTACAGATTTTAATGTTTAATTTAACTTGTCACAATTGCCATCGAGGATGTGGAGGGAAAACTCTGTCTTCTATAGTTTCAGTCATCAACGCAGCCAACGCGGTTAGCTGCTTAGAGTCACAAGAGATATCAGCTCTATAGTTGAAAAGATTATCTCAATTATTCAAAGGATATATGATAGACAAAATTTATTGGAAGGTACAACTTTACTTTGTCAGTTGATTAATTATCAAGAGAATTGATCTATAAAGAAGAATTAATAAAAAATGAACTCGGAAATCAAATTTATTGTAATACGTAATGATAGTGCTGGCTAAAATGTCTTGAATTCAAGTCTTGGATAATGCCTAATATTATTTAACGGATTTTAAACAAAACGTAAGAATACTCATCGAACAAAATCAACGAATTTTTTTTTTCAATAATACTTTTATAATGTTCTTTAATAGACTTGACAAAATATATCAAAATGTGCCTATTTTACATTGGTGGATCTTTCCAAACTTGCCAATATTCATAATTATTTTATCTCGAACTTGAACTAATGATTTCATCATCGGGTGAAATAAAAAAAATAATCAATTCTTTCTCCTTCATTGTCAAAGCTAAAAAAAATGATATATTTATCGTGCACACTAATAAATATAATGATCCTATTACTACAATTAACTTTTTTAATTACTAATAAATAAATTCTAATTTAATTAACTTATTAACTCAAAATATCTGCATTTGTTACGGTAATCTTCAATAAGTGTTTCTAAATTGATGTAGTGTCGTGGGCTCTCCTGCAAGCCCACACTACTGGTCGTCGCTTCTTCGGTTCATAATAAGGTAAGTTCCTCTTCTAACTCTTGAGGCGTGTTTCCGATTTGGCCGTTCTCTCACTTTAACTTCTCTACCGACTAGCCTAGAACCCTTC